GACCGCGGGCATCGGGGTGGACCGCCTCGCCCGCGCGGACTTCGAACGATTGCCCTTGGCGGCGCTGGATGAGCTCGCGGCGCTGTACAGGGCGATCGGGGAAGCTGCGGTGTGGCCTCAGCAGGTGTTATTGGTGCTCGCGCGGCTGTTGCCGAAAACGAACTAGGGCGACCGTGTCATCGGTCGACTCGCCATGTTCCGCAGAATATGGGCGCTGGTGAGGGAGCTGTGCGTGGTCGAAGATCAGGCACAATATTTTAAAGATAGTGCGGTTTTCCACTCTTCAGAAGGTGTGCGCAGGCCACCCCAAGGCCCCAGGATGGAGCATCGCATCTGGGTCGACTACCTTTCACAGCGAGCAGTTAGAACTTCGGTGCGGTTATACGATTGCTTCAAAACGTCCTTCAATCGTGTTGTGGACTACGCAAGGTCGAGTTGCGAGTGGCAAGGCATAGATTTGTTCTGTGTTGTTTCCATGCGGATGCCAATCTAGTTGCGATGGCGCTGCGACGACACGGATTCCATGCCAAGCCTCAGGGTGCTGCGCCATACCTTGGGACCGACCTGGGGGAAGCCAGGCAGCACGCGCGCCGCACCCCTACGGCGAGGACGGTCAACTACTCTCGTGTGCACGGTCGCCTTCGTCGTTCTTCAGCATCGGGCAGGAGGAGGACGAGGAGGAGGAGGCGGAGGAGGAGGAGGAGAGTCAGAGGGAAGAGGAGGAGGAGGAGGAGGAGGAGGAGGAGGAGGAGGAGGAGGAGGAGGAGGAGGAGGAGGAGGAGGAGGAGGAGGAGAAGAAGGGAGGAGGAGAAGGAGGAGGAGAAGGGAGGAGGAGAAGGAGGACGAGGAAGTGGATGGGGTGTCGACTGAACCCCAAGCTTGACCGCTTGGGGGTGCAGGCGGCACGGTCGTACGCCTTCCAAGTCCGTGGGGTCTTCCGCGGGCACGTGACCACCTTCCGCAGACGGCTGGGCGCGGCGCGTGGGCCGTCAGGGGCGGGGTCGGTGCCTTGCCACCCTTCGTGCACGGCACGCCCCGTGTGCGGCCCCGCGCTGCGCCTGCCCGAGGAGTGCAGCACGGTGGGTTTCCGGCTTTGGCAGCAGGAGCCGTCCGTCAGACCCAGTGCGTCGGCAGCACAGAGTGGCATCGTGCAGCACCTTCGGAGTATATCGAGCCATCGCATCGGGCTCGACACAGTCGAGGGCCAGTACCAGCGATAGGCAACCTCTTGCTCGACGATGATTTGGTTCCCTTAGTCAGCTGTTTGTTGGGCCCTTCCTCGCAACGATGACGGCGAAGAGATTGAATGGTGGCTTCCTGACTCAGTTTGGACAGGGTACGCTGAAATCGATGTTCCAGCAAAATTTGAAAACTCGAACAACATCTCTCGGCGAATATGGCGGAAGACATCCCGGCAGTTCTGCGGTGGCGGCTCGGCATTCGGCGTCGACGAGCTTTCTCTTCGGCGGCTCCAGGGGCAACTCCTTGGCACTCCAAGCGGCTCCCGCCTTGTTGAGGTCCCCTGCACCGTCGCCACGGGAGGGAGCTGGCCGCGCACGCGCCGCATCGACGCAGCAGGGGCCACGTCGTTCGGGATCTGCATGTTGTGTCCTCGGTACAACAAGGAGCCAGATGTGTGTTTCACAGGGGGTGGGGTCCGATTGCGACATGAATGTCAACTCACCCACATCTGTACTTCCAACAGACTTAATACATCGAGCACGGGTTCGTTACGAGAGCGAGGAGTGCTACTGGCTGTGCGGGATTACTGAAGCGCGCTGGATCGAAGTGCCACCGACCATCTCCGAGCCCGAGTCGCATACTTCGGGACGAGTGGCCGAGCTGGGGTCTATGTCCACTTTGGCGAAGGCACTTGGCATGACCCGACGTGGGCGCTCGGGGGCGGCAGCGGTGGCCCCGATGCGGGCGATCCACGACTCCGTCGCGTGGATTTGTCCGTTGTGCACGGTCGTTTCCTTCCCGCCGCCGTCCTCCTCCTGCTCCTCCTCCTCCTCCTCCTCCTCCTCCTCCGACCGTTCGAGCCGCTGGAAGTAGCTGCCACCGTAGCGGGCGGGCTCCCAAGGGGGGACGGCACACAGCGTCTCTGGAGAAGAGAGCGCACGGCACGGTTTGGTTGCAGCACGCCGTTCCCGAGGATGCTCGATTTATGTGACTGACCTTAGGTCGGGCCTGTCCCCCTGCATGAGGATTTTGGACGGAAAATATAATCAAGACATGCACCAACAATATTAAAACATAGTCAAAAGTCGTCCCCATACTATTTTTAAAACTATTTCTGAATCTCCCTCCTGTAGAGGTGGCCCGACTTATGACTGACAACGCCGCGGTCGCAGATGGCTGGAGTTGGCAAGTGTTTCATCGCCCTGATGGAGCGGACGCGGATCTCTGGAATCGAATCGGGCAAGAAATTCTGGAATCGAGATCCCGGCACTTTCTCCGTCATGTTCATCCAGTTTCATCCGTCAGGGCAGCAGATCGTACGATCTCGCACAGCATGGCACTCAACAGTTGGCAACAGTATCGCAGACTACTTGGCAGGAGGGGCTACTGGGCGCCTTCTAATTCCAGAGAAACTTCGGTATCATATTCAGTAGATGGAAAACATGTGTTTCCCATCAGAACGAGGTTGACTCGAGCCACGGTGGATACGCCCGATGTTGAAGCAGAGCAGGAACAAGGCCGGGGAAGGTGGGCCTGTCCCGCCACCCCCCCCCCTCCTCCTCCTGCTGCTGTGAGTCTGTTCCCCTCTCGCCATTCCGTGGCTGATTGTGGGCAGCATGCGCAATGTGTGTCCAGCTCTGCGTCCAAGGGCTGCGACGCACGTCGCCGTCGTCGTCGTCGTCGTCGCCGTCGCCGTCGCCGTCGCCGTCGCCGTCGCCGTCGCCGTCGTCGTCGTCGTCGTCGTCGTCGTCGTCGTCGTCGTCGTCGTCGTCGTCGTCGTCGTCGTCGTCGTCGTCGTCGTCGGCGTCCAAGGCCAACATTGCTGAGCGGATGCAGTGCGAACGTCCCGAGCCTCGTGGCCTCGACAGGAGGGATCTTGGCGCTCCCGCCCAGGGTTCGCCTGCACATCTCGGGGGGCTGGGTGCACAGTGGTCACCACCACCGTTTAACCCAAACAAAATTCAAAACAGCAAATTGACCACAACAATCTTCACACCAAAACGAAAACGGATTTCCGACTTAATCGCTTTCCCTGCTCCTTCTGGGGCCATTCCTACAGACGACCCGGTTCTCTGACCCCCGGACAGACCCAAGTTTTGTGCCAGATGCTGCTAATATGGTAGTCAAATGGTCAGTAACTTACGGCTGCGATGCCTCGGGACTACGAATGCGACTCGACGCGAGTGTTTGAATCGGATCGAGTCCGATCGTTGGCCGAAGGCGTCGCACGGCCGACCTGCTCGCTCGTGGTCGCTCGTAGGTGTCATCCTGGACTCGTTCGCCACTCGCTCACTCACTCCTCCTTCTGCATTCTTGTTCCATCTCCATCTAAATAACTCCTCCCTATCACACCCTGAGGCCAGTCGGAAGGGCAGGCCACGCGTTTCGCCTGAAAATTCCTTACCATTAATCGTCCTTAAGCATTTGAGTTGGCCAAATGTTCACCGTTGGAGGGCGGGGGGGGGCCAAAATGTGGTATTCGCCTTAGCGCCGCACACTATCGTCTGAAAGCATTGCAAGAGTTTCACGTATAGAGTGCGGGCCGTTTTCACAATGTGGCTCTCGCAGAAAAAACAAAAGACTTGATTGTCTCCCAGCCCCGTTCCTCTCCCAGGGATTCCGGAATTCCTATCTGGTTCCATCAGGTTGTGGGGGTGGGGGGGCGGTGAGCTTGCCAGCGCACCTCTTGGGCAGTTAGATCCCCAAACGGCCGACTTGACTGTAGAGGCCCCAATTTTCGGCGGTGGACAGACCTCCCTTCAGTAAACCGCCCTTCAATGAAACCGGCCTAGGACCGACACCAACGGACCTGGACCCGCAACAATGACGGCCGCGACGCCCTCTCGCGAACCGACACCGGCCAATTCGCCAATCGACGTGCCAGGGTAGGAGGCCTATCGACCTCCGAAGTGTGGCCCACATGTCGCCGCAGCTGCTCCGCTCTGGCATCCCGAGCCTCCCCGAACGTGCCACGGGCGGCCAGCCGTCCTCGCCTCGCCGAGCGACGCGCGAGCACCGGGGAACGGGGCGGGTGGGCGGAGGAGGAGGCTGACAGAGGGCAGGATGTGGGCAGGGTGCGGAGGCGAGGTGCGGAGGGCAAAACGAGACGATGGAGAGATCGGAAGGGGCGGGACGCGGCGTTCAAAGACCCAGCCCGAACCGCTCCGAACGCCTCCCTCCTCCGCCTCCTCGTCCACCAAATCTCTGGAGATCTCCAGGATTTGGTCCTCGCCTCTCGCCTCCGCCTCTCGTCTCCTCGTCCACCAGTCCTCCGCCTCCTCGTCCTCCAAGGCATCCTAAAATCTCGGGAGTTCCTCGGAGGTTCCTCCAGAGGCTCGAAAGAAAGAAAGCGGTGCACGTCAGAATCTCGATCAACAACCCACAACGCTCAATCACCTTCATCCTCGAACCTCGCTTCCCTCCTCACGGACGGGAGGGCTACGCTCGGATAAAACGACAAACAGGATCACGCCAATCGGCCAGTCCTATCAAGCCGTGATTGATTTTGGAGCAAGACCCGGCTTTTGCACACGGGGCGAGCGAATACCACGCACAACTTCGAAGACGGTGGTCGTGTCAAGAAGAATCTTTTTGGCATGGAGGTCGACGGCCGGGTCCTGAGGGAAGCGTGCCTGGACCACAGAGGATCCCCTCAGGACCAACTTTTCACACCCTGAATCGACACTTTCAGATTCGGGGGCCTGAGGAGGAGCGCCCTGGGAGCCTGGAAATGGTGAAAAACCTCACGAGCCCGATTCCTCTCCCTACCGAGACGCCGGAGCCAACGCGCACGGATATTGTTGTTCCCCGCTTTGCCGTCACGTCTTCGCCGCCAGCTCGGCCAGAGCCGCCCTCAAGCTTCCCGAGCGCGGGAGCCTCACGGGAGGGGGGGGGGAATAGGAGACTGCAGGTCCTTGGAGGCCTCCAGGGAGCCGAAGCCTTGCATGAGGCACCCACACACGACCACCATTGCCAGCCCAGGGTCATCCTGGGCCGTGCATGGTGCACTGGCCCTCCTAGCCAATGTCAGGAGGGGCTGCACAGCATCCCGAGTCCCAGGATCGCCCGGGCCAGAACTGGCGGTGGTGTGCAAATGCCCCCTGCGGACAAAAAAAACACCTCGACCCACTCACTACCCCTGGATACAGGCGCGGGGGTCGGCCGCAGGAAGCGAGCGAGTCTCCTCCTCCTTCTCCTCCCCCTCCTCCCCCTTCTTCCTCCTCCTCCTCCTCCTCCACAATAAAACAATATGAACACTACTCTCCTCATTCCCCTGATGACGTCTGGAAGATATTCGGCCCCCCTCTGCGTACTGTTTTTTCACACAGGATTCCTGGGAGTTTGGTTGGGTTTTTCGCTCTTTTTCAGAATGTTGCTCGCGCTGAAGCGCTGGCCTCATTTTCGGGCTTCCGCTCCTTCCGAATCGTGCTCCCGCTGCTGCGCTGGACTCATTTCCGCGCTTCCGCTCGTTCCGAACCGTGCTCCCGCTGCAGCGCTGGCCTCATTTCCGCGCTTCCGCTCGTTCCGAATCGTGCTCCCGCTGTAGCGCTGGCGTCATTATTTCCAGTGCCATACCACCGCATGCAATGCAATGCTATGCGGTGTTCCGCTGTGCAATGCCATGCCTTCAGCTGCAATGCGAATATATGCAACGTTTGACTATGCAATGCCGCGCCATGCTATGCCATGCTACGTTTTGACCTTCAACGCCACACTACGCCATGTTCTGCTCTGTGCCAATGTGCGATGCCATCATTTGCGCTACAATGCTGTATGCTGCGATCCTTCACTACGCGACGCCACGCCATGCTATGATATACTACGCTCTGCCGTGCTCTTCTACGCCGGGCTATGCCGTGCTCTACGATGCATCGCACACCCTCTCGGGATCATTGCCCTGCTCGACATCCGACTGTGCGAATAGAGAGGATATCTACGCCATGGTAAGGGATGGGAGGGAGGGGTAGGACGTCAGATAGCACGCGAGCGCACCGAGCTTGCCCCCCCTCATCCCCCTTCCCTCCTCTCCTTATGAATAACTCCTTCTTGTCGCACTCCGAGGCCAGTCGGAAAGGCGGGCCGGGCGTTTGGCCTGAGACTTCAATACCGTTTGTGATCCTGCAGCTTAAGAAATGACAGCATATTAACATATTGAGGGCGGGGGGTTTTCAACAACCTGTGGCTCTCGCCTTAGCCCCGCGCGCAGTCTTCTTGAAACTGTACAGGAGTTTCACGGATCGATGGCGGGTCGTTTTCAAAATGGGGCTCTCGCCTTAGCGCCGCGCACGTTCGTCTTAAAACATTGCATGAGCTTCGCGAATTAAGGGCGGGTCGTTTTCAAATGTGATTCTCGCCTTAGTGCCGCGCACTTTCGCCTTAAACTTTGCAAGAGATTAGCGGGTTGAGGGCGGTCTCTCTTCAAAATGTGGCTCTCGCCTTAGCGCCGCACACATTCGTCTGGAACAATTGCAAGAGTTTCACGGGCTCCAATGGTCAACGTACAACAAATGCTGTTTTGAAGCGATTCGGGATTGTCAGGGCGCGGCGCTTACGTTGATTCGCAGTGTTGACGTCCCAGGAATGGTGTCCTGACGCGATTCAGGATCGTCAAGACGCAGCAGTCAAGTTGATTCGTGGCGTTGGGGTTCCGAGAATGGTGTGTTGGCATACTTCAGGGTTTTCAACCGGTTGTCTCCCAATGGGGCACTCCATTCAATTGAAATGAATCCTTGTACGGGCCTGTGAAGAGGGAGCTTAGAGGGAGGGGGTTTATTCCAACATCGTTGGTGAATCTTGGGATTATTCTGGCCCTCCTTCTCCTCCTCCTCCTCTTCCTCCTCCTCCTCCTCCTCCTCCTCCTCTTCCTCCTCCTCCTCCTCCTCCTCGCGTCTGGTCTGTCCGCAGCCCCCCGCGGCGCCTCAGGACCCCTCGTCCCTCCGCCGCTCCAGCCCCGTCTGCTGGCCGCATTCGTTGGTTCGTGGGTTTGGTATTGCAAATTTCGGCGTTTGGTCTCCACGACTTGTGGAGGTTTGGTCTTGCGAATTTCGGCGGTTTGTTCTGACGGATTTCGGCGATGTGTAATGCAACTCGTAGCTATGCTGTGGTTTAAGCCGCGGCCGGATCCCGCGATGGAGGCGCCTCAACAGACCCCCCGAAACACCCATCGGCAGGCATTCAGGACGCTCCGAGCATGAATCAGTCGCCAAGCAACTCTTCGAGCACACGTGCGTCACACCACTCCTAGGGAACGGCTGGTGATGCGCCGCCGGCGCCCTCGATATATCGGTGGGGCGGCGTGGAGGCGACTGCAAGAAGTATGAGGAGCCTCCAAATCGGGCTAAGTCCGTGCCTGGCGGATGCTAGATGGCGAGGCGAACTCGAGGCATCGGCGGGCCCCCACTCACTCCTGGCCAGGCTCGGAACACACGGGCGCGCTCCGAACACCCGGGGGGGTCATGGGGACGATTGTCCAACAGCAGGACGCCCTGGCAACGGAAAGTCCTGTCAAGGAAGAACACCGAGCCTGCCTTGCCTCAGCCTGCAGCCTCGCTCTGCCCACAGATAGACACGTCAAGGCTGTCGAAAAGATAAAGAACGAAATTAGTGGATGGTGGCGGGCGAGAAAACAAAGGAACTGTGGGCCGGGCGTGCGCGCGGCGCGCGAGCATTAGAGTGGAAAGTCGGAAGACGTGCTGAGGAGAGGGGGGAGCCTCTCGAGCCAGCCTCGAACTGTTCGGGCCGGTCCTCCCCAATCATCAATCCCCGCGGTTCTGCGCCCCAATCTGCATGAGGACGTCCCACACCTCGCGACGCCGCGGGGACATGATCCGCGTGCGGCCGCGCCTCTGTCGGAGCAAGGACGTTCCGCGCCCTGCTGACAGCACGTCGCCCGCGCAAGGGGGGGCGCACCAAGCGTGGCTTCGCCAACGAATGAAGGCGCCTCGTCCACCCCTGCGCGCATGCGGCCGGGGCGATGACGCACCCAGAGCCGAAATCCGCCAGACCCCCTGGAGCCGCTGGGCCGCGAAGGGGCCCGCCCCCGCTGTGGCCAAAGCCTCATCAGCGAGTCTTCGCTAGTGGCCCTGCTGGGCGACTCTAGCTGTGTATAAGGTGAAATCTGGCTCAGTTGTCCCGCGAGCCTTTTTTTATTATTACTGTTTCAGTGGGACATGCAAAGGCGGTTGACAGCGACGCATAGGAAGAGGATGCTGATGAGTAGGACGAGGAGGATGAGGAAGAGACTGATGATGATGCTGCTGATGATGATGCTGATGCTGATGCTGCTGATGATGATGATGATGATGAGGATGAGGATGATGATGATGAGGATGATGATGAGGGAGATGCTGATGCTGACGATGATGATGGTGATGATGATGAGGATGATGATGCTACGCTGATGCTGATGCTGATGCTGATGCTGATGATGATGCTGATGCTGCTGCTGATGATGATGCTGATGCGGGAGATGATGGTGAGGGAGATAAGGAGGAGGAGGGGGAGGATGAGGAGGTCGAGGAGGAGGAGGAGGAAAAGGAGAAAGAGGTGAACGAGGCGGAGAAGGCTGAGTAGGAGGAAGAGGAAGGCGGAGGAGTAGGAATAACGAAAAGGAGGAGCACGAGGAAGAGGAGGAGGAGGAGGAGGAGGAGGAGGAGGAGGAGGAAAAGAAGGAGGAGGAGGAGGAGGAGGAGGAGGAGGAGGAGGAGGAGGAGGAGGAGGAGGAGGAGGAGGAGGAGGAGGAGGAGGAGGAGAGGGGGGACCGGCTCGTGGGGGGAGGCATGGACGTGGAATCGGCAATACATCGTCGATGGATCGGCGATAGGCCCTCGATATCGAAACCGAACGTTGCTGGGTGGAGAGGGCTACAGGGCCCCTACGGGTGATGAAAAAGGCGCTTGGTGGGTGGACGCGCTCCACCTCTGAGCCTGCGCACCCCCTTGCCTTCACCGCTGCCCCTGACCGTCCCCCCTCTCCCCCCCCCGACGCCCCAAGGACTTTGCACGCCCTGAGTGGGGCCAGAAAGGATGGGTACGATGCCCAGCAGCAGTGCCCTTTCATGTGGAACAAAAGAGTAGCTGTCCTGCGGAACCCTTCTGACGTACATCCTCGTAATTTTGATAGCAGCTCTTGTCCATTTGGACAGAATTGCGAGGTGTCTCGTGGGCAGGACTTGGCGTCGACATGGCAAGATCTGCTGTCCGATCGGCCCAGAATGATGGCGAATCCCTCTCCAGATGAACAAAGCACTTCTGCTGGGCACCGTGACCATATTTTCCGTCCCCCTTCCGGGCGTGCAACGTCCCTGGGGCGTCGGGGGGGAGAGGGGGGGATGGTAAGGGGCAGCGGTTAAAGGAAAGGGGGTGCGCAGGCTCAGATGAGCGACGATGAAAAAAACGGGTCTTCTGCGAGGTGACGCAGCGACCTTACGCAGCGGCTTGCGCGGGCCGCCAGCGCGGCACGCCACCTTGGAGGCGAGGGCGCTCACGCGCGACCTCACGCGGGCAGCTCACGCGCCAGTGTCGGCGCAGACGACCCCGCTTTTTCTTCCCTATATGCTTAGTGGGGTTCTGGTTTTCGTCCCTGCCGCGTCGCACCCGCGTCTCACCTCACACCTCCCCTCCTCCTCACAGCACTGCCCAGCACAGCTCAGCTCAGCTCAGCTCAGCACCGCTTATCACAGCTCAGCTCAGCTCAGCTCAACACAGCACAGCGCAGCGCAGCACAGCTCACCGCAGCACAGCACAGCACAGCACAGAGCACACAGCACAGCGCACAGCACACAGCACACAGCACAGCTCAGCTCAGCACAGCACAGCGCAGCTCAGCACAGCTCAACGCAGCACAACACAGCACAGCACAGCACACAACACAGCACAGCACAGCACAGGCGTGGCACAGGCGTGGCACGCATGGCATTTCCTCGACACCACAGGGGGGGAGCTGTGGGTGGGGACGCTATCCGTTTCGGGCTCGCAAAGCGTGGCAGGCGTGGCACTTCCTCGACACTACAGGGGGGAACTGTGGGTGGGGGCGCTATCCGTTTCGGGCTCGCAAAGCGTGGCAGGCGTGGTACTTCCTCGACACCACAAGGGGGGAGCTGTGGGTGGGGACGCTATCCGTTTCGGGCTCGCAAAGCGTGGCAGGCGTGGCACTTCCTCGACACCACAGGGGGGGAGCTGTGGGTGGGGACGCTATCCGTTTCGGGCTCGCAAAGCGTGGCAGGCGTGGCACTTCCTCGACACCACAGGGGGGGAGCTGTGGGTGGGGACGCTATCCGTTTCGGGCTCGCAAAGCGTGGCAGGCGTGGCACTTCCTCGACACCACAGGGGGGGAGCTGTGGGTGGGGACGCTATCCGTTTCGGGCTCGCAAAGCGTGGCAGGCGTGGCACTTCCTCGACACCACAGGGGGGGAGCTGTGGGTGGGGACGCTATCCGTTTCGGGCTCGCAAAGCGTGGCAGGCGTGGCACTTCCTCGACACCACAGGGGGGGCTGTGGGTGGTCTCCCTATCCGTTGCGGGCTCGCAAAGCGTGGGGGGGGAGCTGTGGGTGGGGACGCTATCCGTTTCGGGCTCGCAAAGCGTGGCAGGCGTGGCACTTCCTCGACACCACAGGGGGGGAGCTGTGGGTGGGGACGCTATCCGTTTCGGGCTCGCAAAGCGTGGCTGGCGTGGTACTTCCTCGGCACCACAAGGGGGGAGCTGTGGGTGGGGACGCTATCCGTTTCGGGCTCGCAAAGCGTGGCAGTCGTGGCACTTCCTCGACACCACAGGGGGGGAACTGTGGGTGGGGACGCTATCCGTTTCGGGCTCGCAAAGCGTGGCAAGCGTGGCATCTCCTCGACACCACAAGGGGGGAACTGTGGGTGGGGACGCTGCCCGTTTCGGGCTCGCAAAGCGTGGCAGGCGTGGCACTTCCTCGACACCACAAGGGGGGAGCTGTGGGTGGTCCCCCTATCCTTGACGGGCTCGCAAAGCGTGGCAGGCGTGGCACTTCCTCGACACCACAGGGGGGGAGCTGTGGGTGGTCTCCCTGTCCGTTTCGGGCTCGCAAACCGTGGCAGGCGTGGCACTCCCTCGACACCACAACCACATGGGGCGCGTTGGGGGTGGTCTCCCTATCCGTTGCGGGCTCGCACAGCGTGGCAGGCGTGGCACTTCCTCGGCCCCACAATGGGTGCGCTGGGGATGGTCACCCTATCCGTGACTGGCTCGCAAAGCGTGGTAGGCGTGGCACTTCCTCGGCACCACAGGGTGTGCGCTGGGGGTGGTCTCCTTATCCGTGACGGGCTCGCAAAGCGTGGCAGGCGTGGCATCTCCTCGACACCACAGGGTGTGCGCTGGGGATGGTCTCCTTATCCGCTGCGAGCTCGCAGAACGTGGCAGGCGTGGCACTTCCCCGACACCACAGGGGATGCGCTGGGGTTGGTCTCCCTGTCCTTGACGGGCTCGCAAAGCGTGGCAGGCGTTGCACTTCATCGACGCCACAGGGAGTGCGTTTTTTTTTTTTTTTGTTTCCCCCCCCCCCCGTTGCGGGCTCGCAAAGCGTGGCAGGCGTGGCACTTCCTCGACACCACAGGGGGGGGCGCTGGGGGTGGTCTCCCTATCCGTTGCGGGCTCGCAAAGCGTGGCAGGCGTGGCACTTCCTCGACACCACAGGGAGTGCGCTGGGGGTGGTCTCCTTATCCGTTGCGGGCTCGCAAAGCGTGGCAGGCGTGGCACTTCCTCGACACGACAGGGGGTGCGTTGCGGATGGTCTCCCTATCCGTTGCGGGCTCGCAAAGCGTGGCAAGCAATATGGCGTTGGATGACACATAGGGAAACATTCGCGACGAGGGCTCAGAACGCAGGATTGCGCATATATTAAAACGCATAAGCAAGCACATCATATTTAAAGTAAGTATGTGGGGTTCTTCGGTAGTTATATATATATATATATAATATATATATATATATATATATATATATATATATATATATATATATGAGCGAAGTGCGGGTCGCCCCGTCTGAACTGGAGGAGCTGACGATGACGACGACGGGGCGGCGGCCGGGCGCAGGGGTAGCCCCTTGCGTCCGGGCCGGGGGTGGTAACCCATCCTCGGCCGAATCGGGGGCAGGGGTAACCCCTTGTCTCCGGGCTGGCGGTGGTAACACATCGTCAGCCGAATCGGGCGCAGGGGGGAACCTTTGCGTCCGGGCCGGGGGTGAGGCGGAGGCAGCTCGCGGCAGAGCTGGGCTTCATGCTGCCCCCCGCCTGAGCGCCGCGGCGCGCGCCTGGAGGCCCGCGGGGTTGTCCCAACGGCTAGCTCCCACGCCCCAGCGGCCTGCAAGGTTGTCTCAACGGCCCAGCCCGAAGGTTTGTCCCGACGGCTTCGCGATCTAGCCGTCGGCAGACGCGCGCGCGCTGGCCGAGGCGGCGACGGCGCTGTGGAAAATGGATTTGCTTGCCCCGACGAGGGGGAAGGGGAGGTGCACATGGAGAAAAAACAGGGGGATGAGGAGGGAAGGGGCATGGGGGAGGCCGACGACGAGAAGGTGGCGCGAGAGGAGGAGGAGGAGGAGGAGGAGGAGGAGGAGGAGGAGGAGGAGGAGGAGGAGGAGGAGGAGGAGGAGGAGGAGGAGGAGGAGGAGGAGGAGGAGGAGGAGGAGGAGGAGGAGGAGGAGGAGGAGGAGGAGGAGGAGGAGGAGGAGGAGGAGAAGGAGGAGGAGAAGAGGAGGAGGAAGAGAAATAGAAGGGGGAAGAGAGGGCAGTGCAGGGGGCGAGAGGAGAGGGTGTCCGCCAGGGGGAGGAGGAAAAGGGCAAAGGGTAAGCTAAACATATTCTCATGTGGGGTCCTACCGTCGGAGAATATATATATATATATATATATACATATTATATATATAAATATACATATATATATATATATATATATATATATATATATATATATATATATCAGTCGCGCGGTGTCGGGCGCCCGAGTTATCCGGGGTAACTCGGGTTTGGATTCCCGAAAAAGGAACCCGAGGTTGCCCTGACCCGAGTTACCCCTGATGATGTGGGGCCCTGGACGCCCGATTTATCCGGAGCAACTTGGGCCCGGGGCAACTCGGGTTCGGATTCCCGAAAAAGGAACCCGAGTTAGCCCTGACCCGAGTTACCCCGATGATTCGGGGCCCTGGACGCCCGAGTTATCCGGGGTAACTCGGGTCCGGGGTAACTCGGGTTCGGATTCCCGAAAAAGGAACCCGAGTTAGCCCTGACCCGAGTTACCCCGATGATGTGGGGCTCTGGAACCCCGAGTTATCGGGGTAGGTGGGGGAGCGCGTCCACCCACCAGGCACCGGAGGAGGAGGAGGAGGAGGAGGAGGAGGAGGAGGAGGAGGAGGAGGAGGAGGAGGAGGAGGAGGAGAGGAGGAGGAGGGAGGGACGAGGAGGAGGAGAGGAGGAGGAGGAGGAGGAGGAGGAGGAGAGGGAGGAGGAGGAGGAGGAGGAGGAGGACGCCCGCCCGCCCGGCCCGCGGCCTGCGCAGCACCTCGGCCGCGGCGCCGAGCGCGTGCGGCACGGCGTCGCCGCCCGCGGCGCCCGCCCCGCCTCGCGG